CTTATAGCAAAAGGCATACGAAATATGAAAGAGCAAATTAAACACACAGGCCAAAATAGATGAGATCATATACTTATGACTAGAAATGATCACAAGTTCCAACATTTGATTAAATAGAGTTCTGGAGAACACAGGGAAAATGAAATGGAGAGAATGCATAAAGTTAGAGTAGAAGAAAATTTCCCCGAAGTGAAAAATGTGTGTTAGAGTTAGAGGATTAAGTGAGTACCTCATACAATGAATGGACAAAGCTCTATAGGCCAAGACAATTCATTCATCCATTCACTCATGCAACAAATATCACGCATTGTTTTAGATGGTGGGGATACAACTGTTATGGAGATAGGTGTAGGGACTGTTCTCAAGAGCTCGTATATTAAAGATAGGAGACAAGAGCCAAGCAAATAATTCAACAAGATCACTTCAAATACTGGTAAAGCTATGGAGAGGCCAAAAAGAGGAATATGATAGAATGAGGCGAGAGTGGGCTCCCTCAGATTGGGCACAAAGGGAAAACATCTGAGAAAGCGATAGTGGAAGGATCCAAGCTAAACAAAGTCAAAGTTAAAACATTCCTTATGAGATTCCAGAACACCCTGAATAAAAAAATATTCTAAAAACTTCCACATAAAATTGGCCATGGAGAAATGAGAACTAGGACTGGAATTAAATTTCTTATTAACATAAACGTTAGATGCCAAATTAAGCAATGCTTCAAAGTTCCCAGGAAAACATTTTTCTAACCTACAATTCAATATCCATTCAAGCTATCATCTAAATATGACAGAAGAGTAAAGACACTTAAATAAATTTGCAGGCTCAAACAGTTTTTCTTCCCATGTACCTTTTTCAATGAAGAAAAGAACAAGCCTATAGAACTTGATTAGAATTTGATGACAGACAACAAAGCTGAAGTCCAAATATGATACAATTATAAGCACATTCTTATCACACACACCCCCCCCCCTTCATTTAGTAGTTAACTACTCTTTCTCCCACCCTTCTGCTTTTTGGAGAAAAGGAACCAGGTTCTGGACTTAAGAGCATCACACATAAAGGAACATTGGTGAAAGTTGAGAATGATGACAGAGAAATTGGGTAAAAGTCTGCAAAATGTACTGTTAGACTCAGGTCCCTCCCTGCAACCCTGACTCACCACAACACAGCCCAGGTCGGAGGCTGGAATATACTTCTCTTTAGGTTAGACCCCAATGAAGCACCCCAATGAAAATGCCAGCTGCCCCTCAAAATCACCCTACGGTGAGACCCAAGCAAATGACAAGTCCTATCTTCAGACACAGCCATTACTCATCTTTCTAAATTCAAATTCTTCAGTACCAAGAAAAAGTCAAGGATAACCAGAAGGGTGAAGGAAGTTTGCAACTCAATCAAGACAGAAAAATTAAGTAGACATTTATGGGATACAGACACAATTTAGGAAGGAAACTAAATAATTTTGGAGAAAAAAGAGAAGATATTCCAGAAGCAAGGAGCAATCAAAACTCAAGAAAGAATTCTGGAAATTAATACGAATTAACAGGATAGCCAAAATTAAAAAAATCAACAGAAGGCTGGGAAAATACAGTTGAAGAAATCTTTCCAAAAATTAAATTAAAATAAGTAGTAAAGAGGGGCCTCCCTGGTGGCGCAAGGGGTTAAACGCCGCACTATGAAGCAATCCACAGCCTCTGTAGCATGAGGTCGATCCCCAGCCGGCCAGGGAGCAACACACATGGCACAGCAGACCTCTCCTGTCTTGCCCACTGCTCCCCTCAGCAGCATATTTCAGTTAGTCTGCCTGTTCTGTTCCTCACTCTGTCTCTGGTGAATCCTATCACTGCCCCCTGACCCTGCATCTCTGGCCAGTACCCCAGTGTTATATGCATAAATAAATAAATCTTTAAAAAAAAGGTAGTAAAGAATAAGAAAAGTAGAGGATCAATGAAGGAGAGAGACGAGGAAAAATGATGGGAAGCAAAATTCAAAAGCTCACCAAGTGCTCAGCCAAAAAAAAAAACAATTATTATCATGGTGAAATCTTGGAAATCCAGAATACCAGGAATAAATAGAAACTCCCAGGAACGAAAACTAGGCCACATACAAAGGACTTGTGGGGGAGGGGGTGTAAATAAGACCATATTTTCAATAACAGCATTAGATGACAATGGAACCAAAATTTTGAAATTCTGAGTGAAAATGGTCCATCCAAAATTCTTCACCCAGTCAACTTGGCAATCAAATGTAAGAGTTAAGGGGGGAAAAAGCTATTTCATGAAAAGTCTTTTTTTAAGTTGCAGCTCATTCAAGGGGATGAGCTCTACAAATGAGGAAGTGTATGAAAAAAGCAGTGTCCACAGAATACAGGGGAGCAATGTGAAGAGGGGCAAATGGGATTCCCAGGTGACAGCTGGACAGCCAGTCCAGAGAGGCACTGTGTGCAGATTGGAGCCAGGGAAATAAGGACTCCCTTGTTTGTGCCCTGAAAAATTCATATTTTGAAACTAAACCCTACTGCAATGGTATTTGGAGGTAGGACTTTTCAATGGTGATTCAGTTATGAATGTGGCTCCCTCATGAATGGAATTAGTGCCTTATAAAAAGTTCCAGGGATCTCCGGCACCCATCCACCACATGAAGATGCAACAAAAGGACTGCCCTCTATGAGCCAGGAAGCAGGTCTTTAACAAACACAAAATCTACCTGTGCCGTCATCTTGGAGTTCCCAGCCTCTAAAATTGTGATAAATTTCTGTTATTTCTAAGTCACCCAGTTTGTCGCATTCTGTTTTAGCAGCTCAAATGTACTAAGATACTACTATCATCACCCTCTTTTACTGAAAAGGATGCTAAATAGCTCAAAGTAGCTTAAGGAACTCACCAAGCAGAGTTAAGATTCAAATTCATATTCAACTCAGAAACCTGAGTTCTTCTGTTTTACTGCCCTTCAGTTATTAAAAATTTTGTTTCCTATGCCATCCTAACAGGCATTGTCATGAAATCATACACATCTCAAGAAACTCTAGTGACAAATGGCCATACTCTGTCATCTACATAAACATTGATTTTGCAATTCCTTCTCTCTCTCTCTCATCATACCCTAATTATTTCATGACACTTTACTATTACCTATGCTCTTGATTAGGTTATTTAAATCTATTATATCTGCATGATGGAAGTATTTAACAATGTGTGACTGAGTATCTCCTCCCACCTCAGAGTTCATTGTCTTCACGTTAGTGGCTTGAATCAAACATGGTGGAATATTTATTTACATTTCTCTCGCTCTCATATTTTAGGTTAAATTAAATTAAAAATTTTTATTCAAATTTTAAATGGAACATTTTATAACATAAAACTCCACTGCGAGCATTTGTTGGCACCAAGCACCAAAAACTAGACAATGCAGTATGTCCAGTGAATAGATCCTAATAAAATCCATATGTACTCAACAAATAAAAGTTAAGATTTTCAAAATTCTCAAAGAAGAGCTTTCTGCCTTTTTTTTTGGCAGCAAGACTAGAAAGTCAACACTTAGATCATTGTTGTACATTGTTGGTGTACAATTTTGTACAACACTCAGGAAGGCAATTTAGTAATATTTATTGCAGTCCTACAACTGGGAATATATCCTACAAATACAAGACACATATGAGAAGGGATACATGTGGCTATTTATGGTAGCATTGTTTTTAATAATTAAAGATTGGAAACAACCCAAATGCCCATCAAAAAGGGACTGGTTAAATTGCAAAACAGAATTACATGGGTTGCTATACAGTAAAAAGGCACAGACTAAAAGGGCACAGACTCTGACAATTGTTTGGGGGTAATCTTGGACTAAGTCCTAGGTAACAAATCCTACTGTCAAATTTTTAGCAATCTTGCCAACTACTTTAGCACAGCCAGTAATTTTTAATTACTAAAAATTAAATTCTATAAGTTACAAGTCTATAAATTTATAATTAAATGCATGATATTAAAACAAAGATTAAATACTCCAACTCCTCACACCCTAATTATTTTATGACACTTTACTATTAACTATGCTCTTGACTAGGTTATTTAAGTCTATTATATCTGCATGATGGAAGTATTTAACAATGTGTGACTGAGTGTCTCCTCCCACCTCAGAGTTCATGGTCTTCATGTTGGTGGCTTGAAATCAAACATGATGCGAATATTTACATTTCAGAAACTGGCAAGTGCCACAGATTGGTACATTTTTTAAGATAGTCTTTTATTTCATATTTATCAAAATAACTCTAAATATGTATGATCTGTACTCAGTTTTGCCACCTGTAAAATCAATAATACAGTACCTACCTGATAAGATTGTTGTAAGGATTAATGAGTTAATATATGTAAATCTTTTAGAACAATGCTTGCAAACAGTAGTGTCATATAAGGGTTATCTGCTTTTCATATTATTATAACTGGTACAGAATGATCTCCAAACTTAAGTTATATATTTTTAAAGACTCTGGAAATTATGTATAGAATGTTCTCTTTGGGGATACAAAATAGGGAAAATTGAAAATACATATTCATAGATTCTTGTACGGAAAGCTTTTGGAAGAATTAAGGTAAAATTAAAGTGGTTACCTTATTTGTCTTTTGCTAGAGAAATGGGGCACAAAACATGGTAGAAGCAAGACTTTTATAGCTGATTATATTTTCGTTGAATTCTATGTCTTTAAACAATATGATTGCAATACCTATTCAAAACATTACATTAAACAAAAGGACACCTTTCATTCATCCAACAAGCATTTTCTCCTCGTTCGCTATAATCAAAATTCATGGGAGATACTTTAGGAGTCAAAAAAGATACAGACAATGGAGACACCATGACTTCTGTCCTCTGAGAGCATGAGCAATGTGGAGGGAAAAATCGAGCACAATGAGACCTGCCTGAATAGGAGGGGCACACGTCTGCCCTGAGTGAGAAACAGCACAGGACTCTGTACTTAAATCATGAAATCGCTCCTCCGAGATACTTACCCTGTTGTATAAGGGATATTTATGCCCCCTAGATTAATACTTTCACATCCAACAATAAATAAGGTTGAGAAACACAGTAAGGACACACCACTGCAGATCATTGCTAGTTTTGCAGATTCTCTTGCACCAAGTTTCAATTTTTTTATAATGTAGCCTCCCAAGACAATACCAACACCGGCACTGGGGACAATAATAACACCTGGAGAGAAGAAAGGAAAGACAAGATTAATTGGAATTAATGTGTACTACTTTTTGTTTTTTCTAATTACTCTGTTTCTACTAAGGTAAAGAATTTTAAAATACTGTGATTAATAAGTCTTCAGTGTGTTTTTTTATTTTCAACAATTCAACCAACAAAAGACTCATATGCAGAAAGTAGAATAGACTTTTACAAATGCAAGAGAATAAAAACAAGCAATCCTTTAAAAAAAAATGAGCAAAACTTAACAAGACCCTTCACTAAGAGGAAATTCACCTGACCAATAAAGATATCAAAGAAATACACAGTTAAACCACAATGAACTACTACCCCATACCAATGAGGTCCATAAAAACATGGCAATACACAGAATGGCAATGATATAGAATAATGGACACTCTCCATGCTGTTGGTGGGGTCAAACTGTGACATATTTTGAAAAAAAGTTGGGTGTAATCTGGTAGGGCTGGACTCCATCACAGGCAATTCCCATTTCTGTATTCATACTGTGAAGAAATTCATGCACACAATTACTGAAAGAACGTACAAGACATCTGAAGCATTATCATAGTCAAAACTTGAAATTAAACCTAATGTGTATTACTAGATAACATCATATGCAGTATATTCAAACAATGGAATGCTACTCTACAGCAATAAAGCTTAAGAAACATCAGTACACGCACCTATTAGAATGAATCATACAAACAAAATGTTGATTGTAAGAAGCAAACCATAACAGAAAGCGCCATGTGTTTTCATTTGTATAAAGTTCAAGAACAGGTAAAATTAAGCAATACTGTTAAGAAATGCATCTACAGGTAGTACAACTAGGAAGAAAACCCAGAAAGTCATTAGGATAAAAGTTGAGAGTAAGGGAGAGAGTGGGATTATGAAAGGATACAGGGGATACCTGGAGTACTGATAATTCTCCACTCCATGACCTGGATAATAATTACACAAGTGTTCACTTTATGATTATTCATTATCTCTAAATTTTGTTTAATGCACTTCTGGGTGCATTATATTTCAAAGTTAAAAAATTAGTCATAGTGCCTATCCCAAGAAGCTCACCACCTCAAAGAGAAACAAACAAAACAGAGTACAATAAAACTTAAATACAGGGCAGGGAAATGCAAGGGAAGAAGTGCCTGAATCTTCTCTAGGAGAAATCAAGGAGAGTGTCACAGAAGTAGCAGTATTTAAGCTGCCACTCAACAGATGAGGCCATCTTCAGGATTTGAAAGATGACACAGAAAATTTCCAATGAAGCAGCATATAATGACTATCATATACAAAGGAAACTGTGCGAAGAGACACAAGGCAACAAAGTTGAGGCTTCAAAGCTGTCCTAACTATTGAGAGTATGGAATGCAAGCTGTTGGGAGGCCATGGGCCATGGTGATGAGAGGTCAGGAAGAATGAGAGCAAGAGAGATCATGGAAAGGAGTTCAGGTTGTATATCTGGAAAATAAGAGACCACTAAAGTTTTCTGAGCGAGGGTCTGACAAGATGAGAGTTTCGTGTTACAAAGATTGTGTTTGGCAATGAGAAGGAAGATGCCTTAGATGGAGTAAAAACTAGAAAAGGAGAAATGGTCAGGCAACAGCAAAGCTCTGAAGGTTAGAAGGTTCATCACAGAACACACAGCAACTCACTAAGGGTGATGAGACAAGGGAATCAGCTGCATGAAACCCAGGTGGGAGCAAGGATCCAAAACATGAGGAAAGGAATGTGGGAGAGCATGGAATGTGAATTCCATGTTGAGCATAAAGGGCCTGGTGGGACAGACAGGGAGAAATGCCTCACATAGTTGAACCTGTGGACAACGAGCACAGGGAAAATTGGAAGGGGATATTTATAACTTGTAACAAAATTCATGGCAGAGATGAGATATTTAGACAGATGGAACAAAATCAGAAGAGATCCAAAACCAGAGTCCTGAAGAGCACCAGTGTTCATAGTTAACATAAAAAGATGAGCTCTCAGAGGAAATTAAGAAAAGCAAATGTCTTAAAAGGGGAGAAAAACTTGGAATTTGGTCTCGGAAAGACTATACTTCAAATCCTCATTGCCCCCTCCAGGTGATCAAGTACCAGCTCCCTCAACTCTCTAAAATAGATGTCTTGACTTTATAATGCAGATGTCTAACTTTTACACTAGAGTGAAGATTACAGACAGTACATATAAGCTGCTGACAAGGTGTACCATATACTGGACTCAATGTAAGTGTAGTGGTTATCAGTACAATCTGGCTATAGAAATCAAGGAAAGTTTCCAGGAGAAAAACAACAGTCAAATGCCTCTGAGAAGTACAATAAGATAAACTGAAATGAGACAGCTATGTTTCTGGAGATCTTGGTAAAAGTCATTTAAAAGTGCTGTGAAGATAGAAACCAGGCTGCAGTGGGTCAAGTAGCCAATCATGAGGGTTTAGAGATGGAATTCAGACTTAAGAACTTTGGCTGTAAAACGACAGAGGAGTATGGGTTTAGAGTGGGGACAAGGCAGAGTAGAAGCTGGGTAGTTTTGTGAAGGTTTGCTGAGATTTGGAGGGGACTTACATATGCATTTGAAGGGAAAAGATTGCCAAATGTCAGTATAAGATTCTCAAGAAATCAAAAGAATGTAGAATTAATAGCACAGGAGATAAGATTAAATCCTGGAGAGGAAGAGATGACCACTTCATCTACATTGGGAATAGGATAAGGGTAGGGGTTGGTGAGGGGAGATAAGTCAATGGATAGCTTATAGTTGCACAAATAGTAGCTTTTTGGTTTTTTGATATATTTCCACTATTTTGAAAACATAATATAGTATATATTATAATACAACAGTTGAAAAGCCTAGAAAAAATATGAAGAAACAGACATTCACTGCTTACATGCTGGCATATTTCCTTTTGGTCTTATTTCTATGCCTTTTCCTTCTGAGAACTGATAATGTGTTATAGATTCTTCCATAGCTTCAGTTTGATTTTTTTTTATATAATTGAAAACAAAACTGATTCTTAGAAGGAAATGATATTAAAAACATTAAATATGGCCAAGAGTTGGAATAACCTTTGTAGGAAAATGAAGAGAACACTAATAAGAATATGCAATAGGTTTTGCAAATAGAGAGTATTGTAGGTCCAGATGATAATAGATTCCAGAAGTCTGCAGCTGCATTGCTGCACACAGTTGGACTGCTTGTTCCAGCCTGTTCACCAACCCACGTAAAGAAGCAAAGAGGAGGCTACATTAATCCAAAGTCTGAGCTTTGTCTGGCAACCACTGCTTGTCTTGCAATCCCACCACATTCCTGATTTTATAAAAATCATTAATAGTCTTTTTACAGATGAGAAAATTGATGGTTCAAAGAAGGGACTTGCCTGACAGTACACATTAGGGAAAATAGCCTGAATAAACATTGAGGTCTCTGATTCCCAGACCAGAGTTCCGTCCACATCACCACGCCTCTTCGAGGCAGTCAGTCCCTGAAATCTTTCAGGCAGACTGACCAGAGCTCTAGGCCTTGTATGAGCTGGTTAATAAGTATCCTCCTCATTAGGGAAAACTACACACTTACATGATCAAATAGGCAATGCTTTACCTTCAGAGTGAAAATGGATTGTTAATAAAATTCCTATTTCAATTGAACAATTGAGCATCTAAGGAATGGCAGGTATTATTCTAGAGCCTTGTGATAAAACAGCAAAACAAATCCCCATGTTCATAGCTGAGTCATACTTTAAATGCAGTATAATTTATTTGACTACATGCACCTTAATTGGTATTCAGCTCTTAAAAACAGGAAATTCATCATCAGTAAATATGAGGGTGTAGCTGAGTGAAAAACCCACGATCACCACAGAAAGCATCTGACTATTCATTCGGGCTGAACTGTACATCACTCAGATCTCCAGCTTGAGTGAGACTGAAATGTTTCCTCATCACAATTTTAGACCTGTGGGGTGAGTAGGGAAGATCTGGTATCAGGGAGCAGGGAGGAGGGCACTGTGGAGCCTTTTCAAAGCCCGTTCTCAAAATCCCTGGCTTTGAAGAAAGCAGCGACAATAGTTCGGGGTTAGCTTAGAAGGGCATGAAGGGACTAGGAATCCCTCCCCCTTCCCACCATAGAGGCTTCTCGACTTCCCCATGCCCTATGTGGGGAACAGCGAAACAATTATATAAAATGGGCTCAACCTACAGGAGTTCCCCATCTCCTCCCTTCCTCTGTCCTCTTTTCCTCTGCCCCTCAGCACCTGATCCAGCTACTCCAGCTTTGAAGTGGCCAAAATTTGAGACCAAGGGATAGGCCAGAATAGAAAGGTATCAGCTGTTGCCCAACAACAGGGAGTGGTAGGGAGTGAGGACAGAGGCGGAAAGATGGGAGTATGTGGACCAAGCTTGGGACCCACCTCAGGAACAGGTGGTAGAAGACAGAGGTAAATTCCACTGTAGGGGGTCTAAGGGGAAAACTCAGGTAAGAGTATGGGATGTGTAGACAGATTCCCTGAGCGTGAATCTCAGCTCTGCCACCTACAAGCTGTATATTCTGAACATTCCCAGCTCTGAGATATTCTCAACTGTAAAACGTGATTAAGAATGGTTATCTCAAAATTATGGGAATAGAGGGGAAAATCAGTTGACTGGAAGATAGAATAAGTTATTCAATCTAAACAGCAGAGAGAAAACAGGAAAATAAATTAGTAAATCCTCAGGACCTATGGAAATTTTAACATCAGAATTCAGAAAGAGAAGAGAGAGTGGGTTAAAAATGTACTCAGAGAGGGCCTCCCCTGGTGGCGCAGCGGTTGAGAGCTGGGCTGCGAAGCTGCCTGCAGCCTCTGCAGCGCCTGTTCGATCCCTGGCCACATGGCACGCAGACCACACAGACCCCTGCCACGCCTGCTGCTCCCCTCAGCAGTGTCCTCCGTCTGCCTGTTCTGCTCCCCGCTCTGGCTCTGGTGAATGCTCTCACCCTCCCGCACTTCTGACTGTACCCAGTGCTTGTAA